ATGCACTGAACGACGCTATATCCTATATTAAAGACAATTTAGGCGAAAAACGACCCACCGTAGCCATTTCATTAGACATCAAATCGGCATTTGATCAGGCTTGGTGGCCCGCCATTTTATCCCGATTAAAGGAGATTGGATGTCCCGCCAACATTTTCCGCCTCGTTGCTGACTATCTCCGTGAACGTACGGTGGCTTTATCTCACGCGGGTGTCACTGCTACCACTACCACCCAACGAGGCTGCGTCCAGGGATCTGCTTGTGGGCCAGCGTTGTGGAATATTATCCTTGATGGTCTTCTCAGCCTGTCCTTTCCCGCCGGCTGTCGTATTCAAGCTTATGCAGATGACGTTTTTTTAATAGTTTCTGCCAAGGATCCCATCACACTTGAAAGAAACGCTCGACAAGCTCTAGACATGGTTGCAAATTGGGGCCTAGGTGTCAAATTAACCTTTGGACCAGATAAAACAAAAGCCTTGGCTTTTACTTCCAAGGCAGCTAGGGCAACTTTATCAATGTTAAACACCATCATTCCTTATAGCACTAAATTAACTTTACTGGGAGTTGTCATAGATCATCGCCTTCGTTTTCACAAACATGTGGACCATGTCATTGATAAAGCACAAAGTCTGTTTACGCGAATGTGTTTGTTCGTTCGGCCTTCCTGGGGCCTTCATCCTAAAAATATCGAAACAATTTACAGGCACGTAATTGTGCCTACAGTTACTTACGCTGCAGGTATTTGGGGTCATGTTGCACAATTAGTTACTGTTCGACGTAAATTACAATCGCTACAGCGTGTATTTGCTATCCGAGCCATTAGGGCCTATCGCACGGTTTCAGCTAATGCTGCCTTAGCCCTGGCACAATTCACACCCCTTGATTTGGAGGTGCTACATGTGCGCGAAATTGAAAGAAGTAGATTAACTCGAACTACTCAGTTCCTGCCGGATGACGTCATGTGGGAATCCCCTACACCCATTTCCAATCTTCTGCACCCTGCACATCGCGTCACTGTTCAATACTCTATTGCTGAAGGACAACAAAAAGTGGACGAAACTTGCCTTCCGAATACCGTGCAAATTTTCACCGACGGTAGTAAACTGGAGAATGAATCCGTTGGGGCTGCTTATATTTGCATAGACCCAGATTCACCCTCTCCCGTTACTTGTAAAAGATTTAAATTACACAAAGCTTGCACTGTGTTCCAGGCTGAACTTTATGCCATCTACAAAGCCTGCTGCCTCGCTGTGGAGAGGAAATACGAGGATACCCTTGTTCTCACTGACTCATTATCGTCTCTGGACGCACTCAGTCAGCGCAACAACGCCACTCCTCTCGTGTCACTTACCCACAAACTTATTCACGAACACCACTCTTTTGGAAATATTCGTTTTTGTTGGGTTAGGGGGCATGTAGGGATTGCAGGTAACGAGGCTGCGGATGTTGAGGCCGGTCGCGCTGCAGGTTTGAGAAGGGCTCCTGATTACGACCGATTCCCATTATCATATGTAAAGCGCCTTTCTAGGATTCGCATTCGCAAAGAGTGGGAGAAACGATACCAAGAGGCTGCTCAAGGCTCCCACACTCGAGATTTATTCCCCTCTATAACAATGATTCACAATTTTTTCTTAATCATCTCTTCCTCTTCATTCTTTCTTAGTCAATTTTTAACAGGACATGGTGCCCACCTTTCTTATTTATACCGCTTTCACATTGCTGCATCTAGCGCATGTCCATGTGACACTCAGACGCCACAAGATCCTCTTCATCTTTTGACTGATTGTCCAAGATTTACTATTAATAGACTTAGACATACTGCCATATGCTCAAACAGCAACATTAACCCGTTTCATATTCCTGATCTTATATCGAAACCAAAACTGCTCAAATCTTTTGTCGCACTCGTTGAAACTATCTTCTCAAAACTGAAATCTTTCAATAACTCTTCTTTACCGTCTTCCTCCCACTGAGTTCGTATATTGTAAGTTTTTTTTTGAGCTTTAACCAGAAATCTTCGTTTACGGCACGATATACCTGTTGAGGCTTCTAGATTTCTTCTCGGTTTATCCAAATCATGAATACATATCCATATATTAGACATACTCAGAGTTAGTGAAGCAACATTAGAATTTTTGCTAAGGCTTCGAACGAGGCCTGTTCAAAGGCGTCCTTTCCACGGCCGCCGGAGATGCGATCCAACACAGATATGTACTTAAATCGGGGCCTATTTTTTTTTGTTCCCCCACCGTCCTTTGGTGTGTCTTGACTTTTACCCACTAAGATAGATACTTACAAGTTTAATTATGCATTTAGCATCACAATATAATGTACATTACAATATTGCACTGTTAAAGCCTGCGCTGCCTTAGGCGGGACGTCGCGTCGGTCGGGCGCGAGTCCGCTCGCCGTGCAGTTTTTTTTTGTGTCATTTCTCGGAGCGCTGGTGCTGCTCTATGAAATGGCATGAAGCAAGCGCGCCGAGCGGGTGCCCGCTCTGTGTCCCGCTTAACGCAGCGCACGCTCTTAGTTTTTTTTTCTGTGAATGTTATAATTACGTTATATTATATAATAGTTTAAAAGTGTATATAATAATTACCTTAGGACTCATTTGAGTATGATTGCGTGTGTGTGGGTATCTCTCTCTGTATGTGTGCATGAGTTTGCTTGAATGTGTTGAGTGAACCCTGTATTCTATTAATAACGCATACTTTTGATAACCAAAGCACTACGCGTTCGCTTCGAATTGGCTGCTTCCACCCTCCCAGCTTCAGAATACACCGCCTTAGACAGTCCCTATTAGTCGACCTTATTGGACGATGGTACCAGTTGATGTGCCTGTGATTGGCCATCGACGGCCAACTTGAAGCAAACGAGTAGTCTTTAACGCCACTAATGTGATTCAACTTTTCTTTACTTTGTTTTTGACCTCCCTATTTTCTTGTATACCTACTTTTATCTTTACTATCCTTCTATGCTTCCTCTTTCAGACTTCTGCCCGTGCCCCTGGCTGTATCAAATAGCAGCCTCGAGCACGGACAGTATATTATTAAACATGTTGAAATCTGATTAAAAATAACATAATTAAAAAGACATATTGTAAATAATCGAATAAAAAAAATTATGAAAAAAAAAAAAACATAAAACTGATACAACATATGAATAAGTGTAATAAAGTTGCGTAGGTTAATTTCTTTTGGCACTTTAATCCTCAACTTTCCTGGAGTCTTCAAGGATGTGTTTTTATGTTCTCGTACAATACAGTAATGATAATTACTTTATTTTACGTGGTATTTATTAGAAATCATTTTTTTTTTTATTATAAACTCAATTAAAAGTAATTTCCTACGTGTTTACGAGTTTTTGTTTACCACAGTTCACGTCATAGCATAGATAATCTATAGACTAAAATGGCCGACAGCGTTTTTGTATGTCCATGAAAAGTCTATTTTAAAATTAAAGATTTGTAGCTTTTTAAGTTTAAAAAAATGGTTGCCTGTAAAGTAGTTTTACGGGCGAAGATTTTACGTGACAACGTCTTTTTCTCGGTAGAATATTTATTGATATGAATATAATTAAATTGCACAATAGGAACAAGGAATTGAATGAAAATAAGAATTGCACAAATTTTAACTTTAGAAATATATTTTGTTTACTAAAACATTGTACATGTAAACTTAAACTTAACACGAGAGACTCATCGTAACGTTACCGAGCGTTACACTTTTTCATAAGTGACTCCCAGCCGCAACCTAATTTAAGACGTTGTCACGTCAAAAAAATACAATACATTTTTTTTCGGTCTAATAGAACATTTATTAACCATTTAAAACCTTTTTCCAAAAAGGGTCAACCAGCCTATTGTTTGTGATTGTCGTACTGTTTTTTCTTTTGTCGATCCGCACCCTACTCGTTTAAATAAATAAAAAAAAACTTAAATTGCTGTAAACTGCCAAATACTGCCAGATTTCTAAAACGTCAAACAAATATGCCACAGAGTAAAATAAATGGCTAAACCTGCCGAAAAGGCAGGATCCTGTCACATAATATGGTCACCCTGATGTTTACACCACAGGTACTTAGACAGCGGCACAATATGGCGGACAAGGCACACGTCTCACGTCACGAAAAATGTTGCCAACATAGCGAAACTGTTTTGTATAGAGTTGGACTGCTCTTATTGCATACTTTAGACAAAGACGTCATTATGTTAATTTTTTCGTCTTCCAAAATTATACATAACTAAAAAAACTATATGTCATTGCAACAGTTCTAGACATGGGCGTTTTTGGTTTTGAACGCAAACGGATATTTATCGGATTTCAGATTTCAAAATCGATTTTAAAATCCGTTTTTAGATATCCGATTTCAGATGTGCCAAACTTAGCCAATTCACTAGTTTGTGTTATGATTTGGTTTTATTAGCTAACGACAATCACAAACAATTAATTGTAGGAAGCAAGAATACTCGGTAGATTTTCGCTTAGGACTAGCAGAAAAGTTATGTTTACGGTTAAGAGTAAAACTTTTGCGGCGCATTTAAAAATCGACTTATATACAATGATTTCTTTTTACATATTTTTTTAGTATTTTTTTTTGTTTTTCTGTTTGTTTTTATTATTTTTCAAACCATTTACAAAATCAAACCTAATTACTTCAGGTTAGCGTCCAAAAATGTAAGTTGCTCGACTTTTGATGTTTTTAGACGACATATCTTTTCAGTGATAAATAATCCCGCCTCAGAGAAGAGCAATAGATTTCCGTAAACAGCAAATCGAAATCGGACTTCCGAGCACGAAATCTGACTTCCGAAAACGAAAGCACGAATTTCGAATCCGATTTACATTTGGATACTTATGGTATTAGATCGCTAGCGTTTTGGTTCGGTTAGATTTCTGAAATCGGATTTTCTTGTTGAGAAATCGTTCGGTATCGATTTGTGTTTGAAATCGGATTTTGGATTCGTTTTGATATATCGGACGCATGCCTAAACAGTTCCATTGGATTCCTTATTCAGAGGTGTATACTTACTTTACTCTTTGACAAGTGTTGTGACCTACAGCAAGTGATTATTGATTTAAATTAAACAACAGTTAAACTAAAAATGTGGTTACAATTTCCATTTATTGATATTTGAGTAATAAACTTATGAAATGCAGGGCACGGTTGTATTGTGTTTGATGACATTACAATTTTCCAGTTAGTATTTCACAAATCAAAAACTATCATGGTCATGAAGTATTTATAAATAAAATATTGTCTCTAATTAATTATGTGATGATTGTAGGCATAGCAGCCCAAGAAGTATGTACTGATTTTCGTGGGAGGGTGATATTCAACGGGCTACACTATGTCCCTAGCTCAGATACTTGTACATTGTGCGTTTGTGACAATGGTATCCCAAAAGTCTGCAAAGCAGTACTATGTTCTCCACCACAGGTATACCCACAACCTATTTTACTTTATAACTGGGCTGTTTGAATATAAAGTTATTCTTCATGTGTAAGATATATGCTGATGCTAGATGCTAAGAATCGGCTCAGCTTTCCATTAGCTGCAGTTGAGTTGCGAGCTGAAATTTTTGTCACGTAAAATATTAATTATTAGAAACACGTACACGAAATCTTTTTACGCGGAAACGAATAGAATTCGAGAAAAAAATGATTGAATATTAATATTTTTGTAAGTTAAAGTCAATTTTGATAGCTATTTTGATCAGTGCTGCCATTTTTTCATGCAAAAATAACATTTTTCTCGTTGTCTATGGTAAAAATATGTTTATTAAGTTGGTACTATTGTCAAAATGACAGTTATACCGCAATTTTGTTGTTGTTATTTTGTTTTGAGATCCGTCAGGGAGGTCTATGTTCGTCGGTAAAAATTATATTTGTTATTATTTACTAGGTAAATAAAACATAGTATGGGCTCAACACTTAGAAAAAAAGGCAAATGTGGTTTTACAACAATCTTTAATTCAGAACCGACTTGGTCAACCCCGACACGCCGTGGTCTTGGTCTGCCCTACCCCTAGAGTGTTTTTTAGAGCCCGGAGGCGTGGAGGGAGAGCAGCCCCCGCCTGCTGTGACAAAGCCGCAAGCATCGTGCGATCCGTAGCGCCTGAGGCTGGTCGCCGCCGGAAGTGGCGACCAACAAGCCGAAGGTGTGAAGGAGAGTGATGCTTGTAACTTTTTCACGCAAAGGCGGAGGGGCTGCTATTCCCGCAGCGCCGGAGATAAGGCAGAAGTACTGGTTCTTACTTTCCTAGTCCATGTATCCTAAAAAAATTATGAATTTTTAGGTTAGGTTAATTAAAAAAAAAAGCCATACATTTCCTTCTAAAATCTTTAGTGGGGGGAGAGTTGGGGAGACCCCCCCCTCCCCCCACATAAAAACTACCCCGAAATTCAACTACAGCTAATGGAATTAAGTACCGGCAAACATCCAGAATGTGACACTCTTAAATAAAAAAAACAATCAAGTGAAAACCAGCAGATATTTATGAAATACCAAATCAGACATTTGTTATAGTATTGAAGCACATGTTCTGAAAGCATTGCATATCACACTATTTCATTGGCTAGCTGGCCCCAGAGATCTATTCTGTGTAAAAGTTGGGTTATGAATTTATTATTGTATAAGTATTTTATTTTCTGTGCTTTTTGATGAATGATTTTCGAGTAGCTAGTTCATTTTGCTAACTTTTATATTTGCTTGATCTCTCTTTAATTTTACATTGGTCTTCCAATTCAACGTACCATCCAAATGAATTTGTAGGAATTTTATATTATTTTTATATGGTAAATCAATGTCCTATAACAAACCAATTAAGTAATGATTTTTGCAAAACAGAGTTCAAAAAACAGATTTAACTCTTAAAAAGGGAACTATCTATTGGTAAACCCTTTAAGTTCTATTATGCGTAGGTGAAAAGATAGTGAAGGGGAGCAACAACTATTTTAGGATTTGGGAGTTTCATAAAAACATGTTGAAAAACTAATATTAAAGTATTATTCAAATTTTTTATTCTATAGCTTTAAGTTAAATGTTATTTCTTCAGCATTCACTCTATAAATCTACACATAAAATATGTTAACAGTAACTTCTTTTTCTTTTTAACACTTTTTTAGCAATAATAAAGACCAACTTCATAAAAGCAAAACCACAAAAAATTTTGCAATAATGCATTTTCTTTATTTAAGTAACTAAAGTACCATTACTCAAATTACTTTACACTTTGTACTCAAATGAATATTAGAAGTTGGTGCCTTGCATGTCTGATAGATCTGGGTTTCCATAAATACTACTTGAGTTGTCATGGTACGGACACAACACCAAATATAAATTTGAATTTAAAGGTACTTTAGACTTGAATAAATAAAATGTATTATTTCTTTGATAGAAGGATTTGGTATCCTAATTGTTATCTGATATTCTGAGAGATCTGTACCATACAGAGCCAGGGCCTCCCAAGTCTGGATCATGGTTCATGATCATGGCTGAAGAGGCAGAAAACGGGAGTAAAGTCCTCCTAAAACCTCTGAAGAGAATCCAAAGTTGATCTGCCAGGAACTGTCTACACACCCCAGCATAGCTTGAACAATTCTGGGCAGAATATGAGAGATCAGGGCTCACTACTACTATCAGAGGGCTTTGATGCTGTAATCACGGCGGACATTCCCTTGAGTAGTGTTTGGCATGGTCACAGCTGTGCTGTGCTGTGTCTACAGAAATACCGCACTCTTGTCATGATGGAGTCGTCTCCCTCTGGATTTGTTGCAGGTACTGTCCGAATAATCTGTCTGGACAAGAGCTGCACCAAACGCAATGCCAGTGACTCAATCCTCCAATCTTCTAAGACTTGACGTAGCGCCCCAACAGTACAGACATCCGACGATAAAAGCAATCAGCTCCCATCTCTTTTCCCCTTGGTGGCGCACCTACACCAACTTATCTATGGCTGGACTCTCTCTGTGGCTTCTAGCTTTAACACGCTCCTCATGGTCCCCAGCAAATATCTGAACCTCAACCTACTTAGGTGGAGTCACGGCTCGGATGCAGGCTGCTACCCAGGAAGTGAAAAGAAATAGGTTGTCAGTGCATGTGTGCGTAGTTGTACTTTTTCGTCTTTCCTGTCTCAGTGTTCTCGGTTGTGGGACTTTGTATGCAAGACTGGGACTTTAAACTCTTTCAACTACGCAGGTAATTAACATTATCAGAAAGAACAATGGACAAGTTAAATTGATCGGGAATTTCCGTCCACGTCTCGGGTCACCCCAGCATAGCAGTATAATACAAGCCTGAGAACAAAAACTGTAATCTACATTTCAGCTCTACACCGAAGCGAAGCGAGGTCGGGGGGCCGCTAGTATAACATAAAAAAGGTACGGACCAAGAGGCTGGAGACTTTAAGAAATAACAATAAAATAATACCTATGTATGGAACACTTTAGTTATACTTATCAAAGACTCTTTACATCATGCATCTGTATACTTTTTATTTATAACTTTGTTATAAAGCAAATTTGACTGAGCAGTCATTCAGAAAAAACATGATTGAGTCATATGATCGTCTGCCGTCGTGAATAATACATATTGTAACTAAACTAATCGTGAAAAGACAAACTAACCGAGTTGATGTGGCGGCAGGACTAAGAATAAAATACTAGGTATTTTTACCACATTTATGTAAAACTAGAGAGAGAACAATTCTGGGCAGAATATGAGAGATCAGGGCTCACTACTACTATCAGAGGGTTTCGATGCTGTAATCACGGCGGACATTCCCTTGACTAGTGTTTGGCGTGGTCACAGCTGTGCCGTGCTGTGTCTACAGAAATACCGCACACTTGTCATGATGGAGTCGTCTCCCTCTGGATTTGTTGCAGAAACTGTCCGAATAATCTGTCTGGACAATAGCTGCACCAAACGCAACGCCTGCGACTCAATCCTCCAGTCTTCTAAGACTTGACGTAGCGCCCCAACAGTACAGACCTCCGACGATAAAAGCAATCAGCTCCCATCTCCTCATCTCTTTTCCCCTTGGTGGCGCACCTACACCAACTTGTCTATGGCTGGACTCTCTCCGCCGCTTCTAGCCTTAACACGCTCCTCATGGTCCCCAGCAAATATCTGAACTTCAACCTCCTTAGGTGGAGTCCCGGCTCGGATGCAGGCTGCTACCCAAGAAGTGAAAAGAAATAGATTGTCAGTGCATGTGGGTGCGTCACATGAGTTGTACTTTTTCCTCTTTCCTGTCTCGGTGTTCTCGGTTGTGTAACAATGCGGGGCACAGCTAGCTAGTATTTAAATAATTATCAAAAAATAGTAATTGAAAAAAAAATACAATTGGTAACCTACTCTAACCTTTAGATTTATTTATGTGAAAATTTTTGACTATCATTTACATATTTCCTTTTAAATAAAGAGAAAAGTGCTGAAGGATTTAGAGAAGTTCGTAAATATTGATCAGAATACATCGGGTGCCATAAGGACGACATTCAACCCAGACGACTTAGAGGACTCGCCCACCCTTTCGATTAGGCCCTTAAAATTGGCTAGTGTAATAGCAGTTTCAGTTGTATGGCAGGGTTTCGTATATGCTGTGTACGGTTCAATAAACCGCACAATATAATTTATTTTACATTTTATATTTTGCAGCATTGCATTTTTACTTTGGTGTGTCGAATCTAGAACGCGACGCATCAGTCTACGTTTCAACCGCGACTCATAAACTCCATACACTATTTCATTAGTCAAATAAGTTTCGTGTGCCAATAAACGGTATCTCTGTAAAATCCATTTTCTTTTCTTGTACGTACACACATCCCGTACAAAGTGGTCCTTCGAGTCTCCGAAGGCGGGACCAAATTTGTGTGATCAAGTGCTTGGTTAAGCCGTGTGAGTGTTTGAAATCAGGACACCACTCTGCCACGTCGAGTTACGTAAGTCACAAGTCCGGTCTTTGGTGAGTTATCTATTGCTTTCAAGTTATTTTACAAACATGGAAGAACTTTTGAGTAGTCAGAACCGCATCATGGAAACTATGAACACTCTTCTCGTTAATTTCAAGAAAGATGGGTCCGAGCGCAAAACTCTAACTTATCTCAAAAATCGACTGAGCACGTTAGAAGGTTACTGGCATGAATTTCAATGTAACCACATCAAACTCTGCGAGTATGACGACAAATCCCACGAATATTTCACGAGCAATGAATACAAACGAATATCAGAATTTTACATTGATACACGAGCACACATACAAACATACTTGCCCTCTGGTACACAAACGGAGGGAAAACAGCTTCTGCGTACGGCTACACCATTAGCTAGCGAAGGGCGAGAAACGTTTTCTCGAATCGCATCACCCGCAGAACAGCAGGCAAAAGGTCCATTTGAGCTTCAAACTACGCGCAGCAGCACCGACCGGGGAACCAGCAGCA